GTTTGCGGCCTGCCAGTAAACCCAAAGCAGAAGAAGAAGAAGTGACCTCAGCGGCAGACGTCAATAGGCGCTTTCACACCGGAGTACTTTTTCCACCGAACTAGGCCGATGGGGGGGAGATTTGGTTTCACACCAAAAAGGATCTGGAACTAGTCCCTAATTCGCGCAAACCTTTTCACCCCCAGATAGTCCCAGCTAGAGAGGTAGTACTTTCCTGAGGAGGAAATGGTTCGTGGGTATGTCGGACACACTAACAATTTCCGATTGGCTGGGCGAATTCAAAACCAAGCCCCGTAAAACTCTGAAACGTTTTTTTGAAGCCGCCATTGTATTTGCTGGCATTAGCCCAGCGCACCAACGGAGAGAGACTAACTTATGGCAACACAAAAGAAAACATGGGAGCGGTGGAGATGCCGGCGCTTCTGGCGATTTACTCGGAAGACGCGACCCAGCAGCTTCTATCTCAACAGCGTGTAAATTGACAATAAAGCTGACATTTTGTACAGTGCTTTTGGTTCTCTCTTTTATTTAGATCAGGCACAATTACAATAGTGAAATAATAACAATAACGGCATCACGCTGTCCCAGGTGTGTCGTATGCATAGTAAATAGGCTCAGCAGCAGACACACCTTAGTGCAAAGATAAATAGCAGATATACCACTTAGGGACTTATTCCGGTGAGAACGCGATCTACTAGGAAAGTTCGAGGGACTCAAGAGTTCGGGGGGAACAAGTACCGGCTAATTGGTGTGAAAGCGGCTAAAGCTATATCACCCCTTGCTGTGAAATACAAATTATGTGCATAATAACTGTGCAATATAAACGTGGCTGCTATATCTTCAGAATTGTTAAAGGATGTGTATTTTGTAAATTGTGTGATTTTTTAAATNGTGAGATTAAAATAGCCCAATTGCTTTTACAATAAATAAACATTGAATTTGTTTAATTGAATAGTAAAGTGGTTTAACGTTAGTGGCAGGTTGTGTGTGAGAGAGAATAAATCAGACAGCCCAGTATTTTAAAAAATTGTTATTCTTTTTTCCCGCATATTTAGCATATTTCGCAAATTTAGCATATTTCGCAACTTCCCGCAATTTCACCGCATAAAATCACATAAAAACCCCGCATGTTTAATCGCATAATCAAGGATTTTAGCCCGCATAATCAAGGAATTTAGCCCGCATAATCAAGGATTTTTGCCCGCGTTTTTCTGGAGGGTCTATAATAAGAACTGGATACAGCGTGGGAGGCGGGGTCTCGTTCTTTCCTATGAGAGCTGCTCATTGGCGCATGAGGAAAAAAGTGGCCCAACTTTTGAGAGAGCGAAACGTCACAGATTACACGTCATGCCTGGCTGTCAAAGCAGAAGTACCCGTATGTGCGCTCATAGAGCATGCGCAGTTGAGTTGCCCCTTAATCCCCGCCCTCAAGCTCCCAATCTCAGATGCGCGTTCATAATGCCGACGGAAATAACTCTCAGAATAACGTTATTAGCACATTTTACAACTTGAGGACCTAATGTTTTCAATAAGGGCTATACAAATGTTCATACTGGGTAGTTTATTTTGTTAAAAAAAAATTATCCAACGATTTACAGACCACCCTTTCTCGATGTTAGTCAATAGGAAAAAGGGTCCGGCGCACTTCCTGGGGGCTTGCTAGAGAGCAAGTACTTTCCTGGGAGAAAAAAGTTCCAATTTCTAATGGGCTGGGCGAATTGCAAACCACGCCCCGTAAAACTCTGAAAAGTTTTGTGAAGCTGCCATTGTATTTGCTGACATTAACATTATTAGCATTAGCCCAGCGCACCAACAGAGAGAGACTAACTTATGTCGGCGTTCTGGCGATTTACTCGGAAGGCTTCAGTAGAAGCCAGTCCCCAACTCCAAGCCAGTCCCCAACTCCGGTCACTTCCGGCCGGGGACTTCGGGTGGCAGTATACGCATGTAATACATCTAGATTCGGCTTTTAGTGCATTTTACAACTTTAAGGACTAACGATTATAATAAGGGCTATAAAATAGTTCATACTGGGTAGTTTATTTAGTTTAAAAAAAATTATACGCTGATTTAAAGACGTCTCTTTCCCCATGTTAGTCAATGGGAAACAGTTGTTTTTGGCCGGGTGACGTCACGGACTGATACGGAAGTTGCAGTACCGCCGTTTGGACACAACGAATTCTAGGCACAGAGTCCGGCGCACTTCCTGGGGGCTTGAGTATACTCTGTGAAGTTGTTTGCGGCCTGCCAGTAAACCCAAAGCAGAAGAAGAAGAAGTGACGTCAGCGGCTTCATTTGCGTAATCTTCCCTCAGGGATTTATTCCGTTGTGAACGCAATCTGCTCTTTAGTTCCATGGGGGAACTAAGTGCTGGGAACTAAGTACGGCAAAGTACTTGGTGTGAAAGTGGCTATAGATGCCTTACAATCTCAGTGCAATGATTATGGTTTTCTATGTGCATGGTAGCTGGATGTACTGGACGGACTGGGAAGAAGATGAAGTCAACGACAGCATAGGGCGGATAGAGAAAGCCTGGATGGACGGATCCAACCGCCGCATTTTCGTCACCTCCAACATGCTGTGGCCCAATGGCCTGACTCTGGACCATAGCACAAGTACCATGTACTGGTGCGATGCCTACTACGACCACATTGAGAAGATTAATCTCAATGGGACAGGAAGAATGGTGAGTTTTAGTATGCATGTAGAGATCCCATGGAGCAGTTAAATGATGTAGAAAGTCATTTGCAGGAAGCATTTAAGCTGTGATTCTGCTAGACTTGAGGGTTGGGAATTGGGATGCTTCTGAGATTTTAATAGCGGGCCAGAGGGTGGAATGCAAGATCCCGAATGAATAAACCTCACCAAATAAACATTTTAATTTAAAAGTGTTAATTTTATAGCATCAACACAAGTAGTTGTACACCCTGAAGTGGTCAATAAAGACAGAAAGCAGTCACATTTCTAACAGAAATAAATGTGCAGCTGGGTTTTGACAGGCTATGTATTACCTATATTATTTTTCTTAGTTGTTGAGCGACAGTTTGGTTCAACTTATTGTCATATTGAAAGAAACTTGGTCCAAAAACACCCACACCACAGAAAAAAAACATTAACTGTCAGTTCAGTTTCATTCGGCCAATATGTCTGTGCTATTACAGCAGAGTTTGACAGTTTTTCAAACAAAATGATTATGTCAAGGTCCAAAGCCATTCCTATATTTTATTTATGATACAATGTTAATCTGCAGAGCAGTGAAATTATTGCTTGCGGCTCCTCTTCCAACCACAAGTGCCAACAAGACAGCCCTTCATCCCAAATGCTCCCATCGCCTCTAGTTTCTACTGGCATATTAAGCTAATGAATTATTTGCAAATGCTATTTAATCATTGCCAAGATTCGAGCAAACATTATTATAAGCAGACAGCGGCTTGTGAATAAATGTGTGCAAAGAAATTAAACCGCATTCATCATATACTGTGTTCTACTATATTCTAAGCCCATGTTCAAACACGGAGAGCCCCCTTTTTGAGATGATGGATTATTTTGTTGCTGATGGCATCTTTCCGTGGCCACGCTAATCTTTTGATTACACTGCATGTTTGCTCCATGTTGCAGGTGGTGTACAATGGAAAAGAGCTGAACCATCCGTTCGGAATCTCTCATTATCGTAATTTCATCTTTTGGACGGAGTATGTACTCCGTCCAAAAGATGAAATTACGATAATGAGAGATTCCGAACGGATGGTTCAGCTCTTTTCCATTGTACACCACCTGCAACATGGAGCAAACATGCAGNTTGGAATAGAGCATGGTTTGGGTTTCGGAACGTATCGAGGGAAAGTGCCGAGCATCGACGATCGCTCATTTATTTTCCGTTGCTGCTCAGGGGTCGTGCTATATCGTCTCCTTTTAATACTAGAAGCTTAGTCAATTAGAGCGCTTTTTCATTTTATTTCAATAACTAATAGGGAATTGGGGTCCAGACCTTATAAACACAGGCTGTAATTATATTCAAAATATAGTGCCAACTCTTCTGCTCCCTCATGTGTTCACTTCTGGCGGGAAATCAGAACCCAAGAGTCAGTTTGGCTGGAACGGCTCCTTTGAACCACATCAGCTGAGCTTGATGATGTTGATTGCTGAACTGGAAAACAGGCCTCCTGGAAGAGGGAATAGTTGTAACGTTGATGAAGATATCAACTATAGTGAATGGCAAATCTTGGAGTCGGCGGAGTGCCACTGCTCACCAATACAGAGGGAAGCAAACCACAGGTAATAGGATCAATCAGCAGCTTAATTGTGAGCCAATAGAGCAACCGCAGTGACGTCCTAAAACCCGGAAGTAAAGTTAGCCATTTTTACCACGTCCGGTTCCTATCGATAAAAAGCAATGCAATTTTCTCCATAGGATTTTGGAAAATAGCTCCAATAAGGTCTGTGTTTGACACACATTGAAGAGACAGGATCACGTTTTGTTCTACGACATTAAATACATTCAGCGTGGACCTCCGCCGTGGTGATTTTTGAAGAGTTTACGTGTCTGAAAACGATGGGTTGTTACAAGTGGCTGAATAGGACTACAGAAGTTGTCCAGGCCGTTTTACGTCATTACACTCGTAAACACTCCCGCTAAGTTTTGTGTGCGTGTTCTGCTTGAAAGCAAGTACCGCCTCTTGCAAACTTGTTAAAAACAAACGCTTCAACTTGTACCATTTTCTTAATCTGTATGTTTGAATATGGATCTTAAGTTTGCGGTGACGTTGAAGCAGTAGTTCGTTTATAGCAAACGTTTAGCATTTTGCTTCGGCGACTAGCTTATGATTAGGAAATTATAAAAAGTGGGGTAGACATGCTGGATATTTACCGGCGTGATCCGTCTCGTTATAATGTGTCTCAACCAAGACTCTATTTCGAGCTATTTTTCCCAAATCCTACGGAGAAATTGCATTGCGTTCTTTGCACGAAGGAGAGGAGTTTTACTTCCGGGTTTAGGACGCGTCACTGCGGTTCTCTATAGCAGGTTTAAGTAAAAGGCCAGCGGGTGGGGCGAGAGAAAAAAATCAGTTGTCCTCTGCAAACACGGTTTAAAATAGGAATTCGATGAACAATAAGCCTTTTCCCAGATGCACGGCTCATCTTGCAGCCAACCTTTGACCTCACAACATGACCATGTACCCACTGTGGTGACCTCTACAGCGGCAGCCCTCAGCTGCATACGGACACATTATGTGTGGCGTTGTAAGTATATGGTGGGGCTGCATGTGGTGTGGAGCAATAAAAAACAACACTGAGGAAAGAGACACGGAAAAGATGCAGTTAGCGGGGGTTAGGAAACCTCTGAGACCATCATTAACTTTGGGAGCCTTTACACTTTGTGTCATCCCGGCACACATTGCCGTCTGATGCTCAGAGGCCAGCGCGAGGGGATGACGCACTGTAATTTTAGTTATTTTAACTCCACTCAGTCAGAAACACTCTCTCAACAGCAGTTGAGCGGAATTTGCGAGTAGTGGCTCAAAACTAAACCCCTCAAGGGGAACAGGGGTACAAAGTTGTTAATTGCACGTGACAGGGTGCTCCAAGGCGAATATATATATATTTAATTTCTTACCGAAATCAAAATTATTCCAGTTAATTTAGCAGCTAAAAGGTTGGTGGAGGCCAGGTGTGGAGCTACTTCACGCTGCTGGTTTAGTGAAAAGCAGCAGCAGCAGTAACAGAATGTTTGGGGATACTTTTAGTGTTTTTTTATGTAGCACTTAGGAGTTCAGCTCATGATTAAGCTCACATGGGATGACGGCAAATTGACTTCATGCTTCCGCCTGAATCCAGGCTCATTAGCACAGACGGCGAATGTAGATGAAACATGGTAACAGCTAAGCTGGATGTAGACCTGTACATTCTTGAGTGTAGACTATCTATAGGCCGTGGCTTTTGATTAATTCCTGACAGCGCTCACCCTAATCAGAGGGATGGATTTCCATGAGCAGGCTGTATGGTGCGTCTAGATTTCTTTTGAAACGAATGGCAAAGTCTGACAGTGGTAGGTCTGCTCGTGCTCATTTGGAATGAATAATGATATGTTTCTGTGTAGTCGCCATATTTCCCTTACTTTATTCCCTATGATAAAAGCGTTCAGTTTTGTGGCTCAGAGGTTTTGCAGCAAAGAAAGTGTGGTGTTCCTGTGTGTTGGCTGAGCTTTTCTTCTTTTTCTTTTAATGGAGTCCATTATGCTAATTTTTCAGGGTTCATATTAGTACTTTGTGCCTCTATACTGTGACAATGTCTACATGCTCCAAATGTACAAAAAGTCCTTTAGTTTCTCATACCTGCCTGTGCGCAGGCACCTCTTTTTCACCCTCTGTCCTGAAACCAGAGCCAGTCTGCTCTGATTGGTTAGCTCTGCTGTTGTGATTCGTCAACGCCTTAGAGAGTTTCCCATCCCTTAGCCGTGTGTCAACTCAAATACACAGTGGGCCCAAAATAAAAAAATTGGTATTAGTCGGAGGGCCGCGAACTGTTTAATGTTTATGCCAAACGTATTGAAATGCAACTTATGCCCACGATATTAACTTGACAGGAACTAACAAAGCTTAAATCATTGCCTATAAAAACAACATTAAACATTAAATAATCAGGTTGCATTCATGGGCTTCTATCTCGCAGCTTTTCGGAGTCATTTCTTATGAGGTACATTTTTCCACAGGACAACAACAGCTGGGCAAAAAAAACCTATTCCCCTCAAAGAAAAACAAACATGCCCTGTTGTCTCCAGAAAGAAAGTGCAAGAGGAAACATTCCACATTGAAACTCGTTTGGCTGCTCTGTGATGCTAGCTCAAGCAGATCAATGGCATCTCATCGCCCGTGCAGGTTCATCCCATGTTTGGGGTCAGGTTCTGAGCTGAGGAAATCAGCGTTTGACACATGTGCCTTAGCCCAGTGTTTTTCAAATTGGGGCCCGCCAGGGGGTCACCTCAAAGTTGTTTGAGGGAAACAGGATTTTTTTTTTTTTAGTTGATTTTTATTTTATTTTTTTATGTATTAATAACTGCATATCTATAATCTATATGTCCTTTGATGCCAATCTTTTCATATTTTTTGAGTTTTTGAATCACACGGCCGCCCTTCAAGCCAATCAGAATCGAGCTGCCGCTACTGAGAGTGAAAATTTGCTCAGCTTTTGGAGCAAGTGAGAGCGAGTGAATGTTTCGCTCTGCAGCTGGATGAGAGCACGGATGTAGCAAATGTCGCAGAATTGCTTGCATACATCAGATTTATTTCAGAAGACAACTTTGTTGAGGAAATATTATTTTGCAAAGCACTGGAAGGTAGGACCACATGAAAAGACATTTTCCAAGTTTTAGATGAGTACATCATCTCAAACGGACTTGACTGGTCTCGTTGTGTGGGTGTGTGTTCGGATGGGGCAGTGGGGCTATGACAGGCAAAGAAAGCGGAGTGACAGCTTCGATCAGGCAGAAGGCCCCAAATGTAGTGGCAACGCACTGCATGTTCCATCGGGAGGCACTTGTACACATCATTTAAAAAGAAATTGCAACAGAGGGGTCCCCGCCAGAGGATAATGCTATATGGGGGTCATTGGCATGGCAAAGTTTGGGAACCCCTGCCTTAGCCTATTACGTACAATGTGTTGGAGCGCTAGCCAATAGAAGTGCGAGTGTTACATAGTGATGTCATTATGTTACTGAAGTAAAATTCCAATGGAGGCGTTTCAGACAGGGGGGGGAGTGTTTGGGAGAGAAAACTTTGGGATTTTAGCCTTTGTTGACCGTTTACATGCACTAAAACCTATATAACATACTACAGGAAAGGGAAACCCCAAAAAGCCTAATAGGGCCTCTTTAATGTTGTATTTTCTTTCAGTCATTCCTGCTAGCAACACAACCTTATTGGAGAAAACACAAGGAGCATAAACTGACCAATAACAGTTTTCCAAGCGGTACCTCCATAAATCCTGACAAATCCTGAATCCGGTCGCATGTTATCCATTTTCGAGAAATACAACTATATGCCAGATTTCTTCATAATATATTTTTTTATTCCAGTCCAAATATCAACTCTTGAAAATGAAATTTTCTTTATTTCACATTCATGTTTCGAAGAATCAAAGCACTTTGTTAGGGTTAAGGTAAACTGAGTTGTTGAGTGATATAGTTTGTATGAGGGTTATGATCAAAACAAATGTAGTCTGGGACTTTTAAGAGGCACACTGTTTGGAATAATCAGTTTCATATATACATATTTTTTAGTTTTAGAAACAAGCCATCTATCTTTAAAAAACAACAACACTTACTGTAAGTGACTCGGGCTAACCTTGCCTGTTTATTTCACATTCATAGGCCCTGGAGATGATTAGACCTCCTTAGCATTTAATCATGCGCCATGGAGGTGGAACAAGAGGGACATTTATAAACATTTCACTTGTCAGAACTATGAGGTTGTTATTGTTGCCGAGATCTGCAGGGTATACATGTATTCTGTCCTACTTTTTACACCCTTACTTGAAATTAGGCAGGGTTATTTATTCGAGGATAAGTAAACATACTCGAAACTGGGATGATGGCAAGAAACTTTCATCACACTGAAAATTGAAACAACTGGATGTGTGACTTCGTCTATGTTTCATGTTCAGTCTCAGAGGAAATTGTATTTTCCTTGTTGCCATAAGCAGGGATTTATTTTCTTTCCAAAGAGGATGGTTTTCATGTTAATCATTCTTTTTGCAGATTTACTGAACTGTCTCCAGTGCTGATGAAAGATTCGGCAGTGTATTGCGCTCACAATTACAAAATGTATCATGAGTGATTTTGAAAAGAAATAATGGAAAGATGCCTGGATGCTTATTCCATTAGTGAAGTGATGAATTCAAATGAAGGAAATCTAACACCTCTGTAGTACTTTGAGCCTTAATTTTGTCTGTTCTTCCCCCAAGCTCGCTCTGACAGCATAACTCTCACTTGGTGCAGTTTAAGGCCAAGGACAATATTGAATAACCGGCCGCGACAGAGTGACAGATTGATCTACCGTGAACATGATACAGATGTAACCGCGCTATTCATCTCCTCACTTTGTCAGTGTATTAAGATGCAAGGTGTGTTTCCCGTGCGCCGGTAAATAAGCTTTTATTGCATCGAAGCCTCAGGGACTCATCTGAATATTTAAAATCTTTGAATGGATACGCTGATTTAGTAGCTTTGAACATGCCCCTCGGGCTGCTGATGAGAATTTATCATTCCGTTGATCATCATTAATC